GGGGGGGCGGGGGGTGGTGGAGGGAGAAATGGAACGCGGCCACTTTAAGAGGCCTTCACGGCGCTCCGGAACCGGGGACCTCTCCTCCACCCCCGGCCCGGTGTGTGAGGCTCTTCCTTGGGGGAAACTGTCTCCTGACCCGCTCCCTGGAGGCTTCCCTCCCGCCCGATCCCGCCCGGCCCTGCCGCGGGGCGGCGGCTCCTCCTTACCCCGCTGTCTGCCGCCTCCTCCCAGCTCTCAGCGACCTCCTCATCTTCCATCTTACTCGCCGCTTTCCCTCCTCCCTCAACCCCTCCCCGCGCCTGCGCGCTGGCGCCTCGGTCGCGGGCGGAGGCACGCAGGGCTTTCCTTAATGGACCACGCCCCCAAGCCCAGCCCGGAAGAGCCTCCAGGCCGGGCCCGAGCTAACCTGGGCTTCCATCTTGGAAGAGGGCAGAGAAGCCAGATCGCGGCCATCTTTCTTAAGGTCAACGCCTTTTTTCTCTCTCTCCTACTAGATGCGAGTTTAAGTGAAGTTATTGGTTTGAGCTCCGCTACTGTGGTCCTTGGAACCATCTTTTGTAAGGGCAGGCAATTTTTTGAAAAAAAAAAAAAAAACACTTTTTTTTTTTTTTTTTCCCAAAAACTGAGTCTCGAGCCGGCGTGATAGCGCATGCCTTAATCCCAGCACTTGGGAGTCAGAGGCAGGCGAATCTTTGTGAGTTTGAGGCCAGCCTGGTCTACATAGTAAGTTCTAGGCCAGCTGGGGCTACAGGGAGACCCTGTCTCAAAAAGACCAAAAAAGAAGGGCAGGAGGAAGGGAGAGAGGGAGGGAGGGAAGGAAATTAATGTTGAGCGTGAAACACGATTTTAATCCTAGCATTTAGAGGCAGAGACAGGTGAATCTTTGTAAATTTGAGGTCACTTTTGTCTATAAATAGCGAGTTCCAGTCCAGGTAGGGAGACATAGTGAGACCCTGTCTTAAAAAAATAGAAACAGCCGGGCGTGGTGGCGCACGCCTGTAGTCCCAGCACTTGGGAGGCAGAGGCTGGCGGATCTCTGAGTTTAAGGCCAGCGTGGTCTAAATAGTGAGTTCCAGGACAGCTTGGGGCTACAGGGAAACCCTGTCTCAAAAAAAAAAAAAAAAAAAGCAAACAAACTTCCTCAGGCAGGCAAGGGAGCCCCTTGCCATAGTCACAACCCTTCGAATTTTCACTGTGGGTCAGATTCTGATGAGACTCTAATGAAGATTTATAATTCTCATCTCTCTAACCCTCAAAAGGTGAGGAGCAAATGCCACATGTTTTCGTTCTCAGTGACATGTTCTTATAGTCTGCTTTATTAAAAGCCTGTGATGGGGGCTGGAGAGACGGCTCAGCGGTTAAGAGAGCACTGACCTTGCAGAAGGACCCAGGTTGGATTTCAGCACTCACATGACGGCTACAACCCTCTCTAATTCCAGTTCCAGGGAATCCAACTCCTTCTTCTGACCTCTGACATGGATGCACTTACACACATGTAGGCAATACACTCATACACATAAAAAATAAAAATAAAATATATTAAAAAAAAAAAACACCAAAGCCTGTCATCTGACTGGGTGTGGTGGCCCATGCCTTTAATCCCACTGGGGAAGACCGAGTCAGGTGGGTCTCTATGAGTTCCAGCCAAGTCAGGGCTGCATAGTTAGACCCTGACTCATATAGATATCTAACTATCTAGCTATCTAGAGATATCTAGAGATAGCTAGATAGTTAGATAGATGATAGATAGATAGATGATAGATAGATGATAGATTGATAGACAGATGAAAATAATTCAGTAGTACTGCATTCAGCTGCTAAAATCAAGTTGATTATACTGAATTGGAATGTGGGTTTTTTTCTCTTTTTAGCATGCCATTAATCTTTTTTTTTTTTTTTTTGGTCTTTTTGTTGGTTGTTTTTTTAACAGGGTTTCTCTAGTCACAGCCCACCTGGAAGTCACAATGTGAACCAGGGTAGCCTCGATCTCACAGAGATCCACCTGCCTCTGCCTCCTGAAGGCTGGGATTAAAGGCTCATGCCACCATGCCCTGCCAAGCCATTAATCTTAATAAAGGAACAGCTTTCTGTTGTGACTTTTTAATTATTTTTGAATTTTATGTGTATGTGTTATGCCTGCATGCGTACAAGTGCATCCATGTTGTGCAATGCCCAGGGAGGTCAGAAGAGGGCACTGGATCCCCTGGAACTGGAGCTACAGATGGTTGTTAGCCATTAGCCATGTGGGTGCTGGAAACCAAACCCGAGTCCTCTGCGAGAGAGCCAGTGCTCTTTTTTTTTTTTTTTAATATTTATTATTTTTATTTTATGTGTATGTGTGTATTGCCTGCATGTAAGTGCACCCGTGTTGTGCAATGCCCAAGGAAGACAGAAGAGGCTGTTAGATCCCCTGGAACTGGAGTTAACGGGCGATTGTTAGCTGCCATGTGGGTGCTGGGATTCGTGCAGGTCTTCTGCACGAACAGTCAGTGTTCTTAAGAGAGATGGCTGAGCCATCTCTCCAGCCCCAGAACCAGTGCTCTTAACCTTTGAGCCAGCTCTAACAGCTGAGCCATCTCCAGTGGCTGAGCCATCTCTCCAGCCCCAGAACCAGTGCTCTTAACCTTTGAGCCAGCTCTAACAGCTGAGCCATCTCCAGTGGCTGAGCCATCTCTCCAGCCCCAGAACCAGTGCTCTTAACCTTTGAGCCAGCTCTAACAGCTGAGCCATCTCCAGTGGCTGAGCCATCTCTTAACTGCTAAGTCATTTCTCCAGCCCTCTGTTGAGACATTCTGCAGTTTGTGTTCTTAGTGATTGTAATCATGTAGGTAAATGTTACTGTTTTTTATCTAAGTGATGTGCTTACTAATCCCCTGATTCCACAACTTCCTGTCTCTGGAATTTTGTTAAGCTCCTCTTCTGTCCTCACTCCACTGTTCTTACCTAGAAGCTCCTGCTCTCAGCCACACCCCTCCCCCATGCTGAAGCCTTCCAAGGTTGATTTATGGCTGGGAACTGAGCTGGTGTATCTGATTCCAGTTCCAGTAGTTAGGCTTCTCATCAGTTGCTCCTGGACATTCCAAAAGCTGTTCAAACTCTGAAACTCATTGAATTTAACTTTTCACCATCTTCAAAAATAAAGGCTGTTGCTCATTCTCTGGGATATTTATTTGGGATACATTCTCCCATGAACCCATTTTTAAAATTTGTGTGTGTGGTATGTGTGCACGTGTGTATGCTTGTTCGACTGTGTGTGCTCTGGTGTGTGGAAGCCAGAGTTTGACACTGGCATCTTCATCGTTCTCCACCTTATAAATTGAGTCAGGGTCTCTCACTTGAACCCAGAACTCTCATTGACTCATTTAGACAGGCTAGCCAGCTTGCTCTTGGGAATCCCCTGTCACTGACTCATGCCTGCTCTAGAATTACAGGCATGCTGCCACTCTCATGGGCCATGTAGGTGGGTGCTGGGGATCAGAACCCCAGTCTTCACATTTGTGCAGTAAGTGCTTTATCTGGTGAGCCATCTCTTAAGCCCCTGCTCTCTATCAAACACCATCTAAAAAGTCATATATGGTTTTTGCTTTGTTATACAGTGTTACCAGCAGATGGCAAGAGTTTCTTTGAGTTTTCCCCCAGGACTGGAGCCTTGAACATGATTTTCAAGAGAACCAGAAAGACCTAAATCTTGGAAATAATTTGAGGATGCAGCAAAGGAAATAGCTTTTGTTCTGCTCAATGGGCAACTAAGAGGCCGGCCCTAATTAATCATAGAGACCCCCTTGGGACGCAGGGCAAGTCCTTTTCTTTCTTGGTCTGTTTGCTACCCTGTAAAATGAGGACATGGGACCAATAAACTCTAAAATTGAGAATACAGTGGCAGTTTCAGTTTCCAGGGGAAAGCCCCAAAACTTGAGCTAGTGGCTAGATACTGTTATTGGCAGAGACCTTGAGCTTCTGTTTCTTGTGAAAACATGTCTGAGACATGGTTCACGCATGGCTAGTAATAGTAAGAAATTGCTCTCAAAACTGAGCTATGTTGAGAATTCAAGTATAAAACCTGTTGTGAGAGTTCCACCTGATACAAGCTGAGGCTATGTAGCCAGTTATGTTATTGTTAAGAAATAAGTGGCAGCTGTGACTCAGGAAGACCCTGTTTCAAAAAGACAAAACAAACAAAAATATAAGTGGCAGGCATGATGTGAACATGCCTACACACATGTGTATACTACTACATTCCCATAGACATGAATAAAAACCAACTAAGTGCTGGGCTTTAAGTGTTTTCTTTTTTCTCTTTAAGAAGAGTTTGCCAGACGTGGTGGTCCACACTTTTAATCCCAGAAGAGGCAGGTGCATCTCTGTGAGATTGAGGCCAGCCTGGAGCCTGGTCTACATGGCAAGTTCCAGGTCACCTGGGGTTATGGGGAGACCCTGAGTCAGTGTATTGGTGCACGCCTGTAATCTTAGCACTTGGGAGGCAGAGGAAGGAAGATCAAGACCAGCCTAATCTGCATGAGATTCAGTCTCAAAACACACACACTGAAAAGAAAGGGGAACGCTTGCTACAGTATGACCCACTTAATGAAACAACTCAAGAAAAGAAGGAAAGAAGGAGGAAGGAAGGAAGGAAGGAAGGAAGGAAGGAAGGAAGGAAGGAAGGAAGGAAGACAAAAAGAAAAGGGAGTGGGGGATGGGTTGGGGATGTACCTCAGTAACAATATTTGCTTAGCAAGCATGAAGCCCTGGGTTCCAGCCCCAGTACTGACCAAAAAAAAAAAAAAAAAGGCAATATACTAATATCTAAAATGTATCCTGGGGCTAGAGAGATGGCTCAGTGGCTAAGAGCACTGGCTGCTCTTGCAGAATACACAGGTACCCAGGTTCCCAGTACCCTCATGACCCACATAGCTACTAATAACCAGCCATAACTCCAGTTCCAGGGGATCTTGATGCCCTCTTCTGACCTCAGGCATTACATGACATTTTACACTTCCATACATGCAGGCAATATACACATACATAAAAATAGTAAATAAAAAACCTTTTTAAAAATAATAAAAATTGGGGGCTGGAAAGATGGTTCAGCAGTTAAGAGCACTGGCTGCTTTTGCAGAAACCCAAGTTCAATTCCCAGCAGCTAACAACTGTCTGTAACTCCGGTTCCATGGCGCCTTCTTCTGACCTCCTCAGGTATTACATGACATGGGTACACTCACATAACATGCCAGCATTACACTTATACACACACACACACAAAAAAAAAAATCCTAGAAATAGAAAATGATAAAAAT